GTGAGGATTAACCTGGCACACAGGGGACAGGGGGCTCTGAGGGGCTCACCTGGGCACGGGGGGCTGCAGGGCTCACCTGGCAGCTCTGCACACCTGCCCCTCTGTGCACGGGAGCGCCAGGCTCCGCAGGGGTTAACCTGGCACACAGGGGACAGGGTGGGCTCTGAGGGGCTCACCTGGCAGGCAGGGGCACCTGGGGTCACCTGCCAGCTCTGCACACCTGCCCTGTGCCATGGCAGCCCTGCTCACCTGCCCTTTGCCCTTGCCAGCCCTGCTCACCTGCCATGTGTCATGCCAGCTCTGCTCACCTGGCAGCTCTGCTCACGTGCCCTGTGCCCCTGCCAGCTCTGCTCACCTGCCCTGTGCCATGGCAGCTCTGCTCACGTGCCCTGTGCCCCTGCCAGCTCTGCTCACCTGCCCAGTGTCACTGCCAGCTCTGCTCACCCTCCCTGTGCCCCTGCCAGCTCTGCTCACCTGCTCAGTGTCACTGCCAGCTCTGCTCACCTGCCAGCTCTGCTCACCTGCCCTTTGCCCCTGGCAGCTCTGCTCACCTGGCAGCTCTGCTCACCTGCCTGATGCCACTGGCACAGGCTGCCATGGATGGAGAGGACACAGGAAAACTCCTTGAAAGGAGTTTCTGGCTGGATGGGGCTTGGATTGTCCTGGGAGCAACCCCCAAAGTGTCACAGACATCTTTTATGGAAAATCCTTTCCTTAGGATTTTTCCTCCTGAGAGGCTGAGAGGCCTCAGGAACAAAGTGTAAACATTGGTTATCTGCTGCTGTGGAATGCAACAGGTGCATCTGTGATTGGTCTCATGTGATTGTTTCTAATTAATGGCCAATCACAGTCAGCTGGCTCAGATAGAGAGTCTGAGCCACAAGCCTTTGTTATCATTCTTTGCTATTCTATTCTTAGCTGGCCTTCTGATGAAATCCTTTCTTCTATTCTTTTAGCATAGTTTTAATGTAATATATATCATAAAATAGTAAATCAGCCTTCTGAAACATGGATTCAGATCCTTATCTCTTCCCTCATTCTCAGACCCCTGAGAACACCGTCACACTGAAGGGCAGTGGGTTGAAACCAGAGGGTCTTGCAGGTCCCTCCCACTCAACCCAACCCAACCCAACCCATGCTGGGTTCCATGAGCTTGGCTCTGCTCAGTTCCCCTCCCTGCCTCCCCCAGACCCTTCCCTGGCAGCCCCTGGCTGTTGAAGGGAGGAACTCTGCAGCCCTTGCCCCACTCACCCCGACATGGAGTTGGTTCTGTGCTCAGGCTTGATGCCCTCCTCCAGGGAATTCCTCTGTGAGCTGCTGCTCTCACTGAGCTCCAAGGGCCTGGAGAAAGAACCCTGTGAGCTGCAGCACCACGGGCTGCACACCCAGCCAAGGGTGAAGCTCCACCCCAGGAGAGCAGGGTGAAGTCACAGCCCTCTGTGATCACTGCTGCGAACATTCCTGTGGGATCTCCTGAACATCCACATGAATATCAGAGCTCATTTCCTGCACCTGCAGGTCACCCAGCCACTGACACACACACACACACACACACCTTTCCTCAGTTTTCCTATCAAAATATTTGTTGGGCTTTCTCTTCCTCTGGATCGCACCCTTCAGCCCTGGGAAGCAGGACCTCACTCTTGGCTTTGTTAGATGTGGCACAAAGGGATTCCAAACAGAGGAGCGAGGAGCCCAAGAAAGATTCCCTTTGGCAACACTTGTCACCTCATCCTGATTTTACACCCTCATTAACAAATTAATTTGATTATTTTAAGTTGTTCGATGAGAGGGGCTATGGAGCTGGCTGGGAGAGCTGGGGGTGTTCAGTTTATGGTGACACCCAGCTCTGATTTTTACTGCTCAAGTTTATTTTAATTAAATTTCAGTTTCTCTTCCAGCATGAGGAAAATTATTTCAAGAAACACAACTTCAGCCTCTTCCACTGCCTCCCCAGCATTCAAGCATAAATAATAAACAACTGGCAGAGCCAGGCTTCCTGCTCTCCAGCATGCCATGTTTCAGGATGGGAACAGGAGGGATCAGGGGGGCTTCCAGGGAACCAAGGGGCTGTGTGTGACTGCTTTCCTCCTTGGAGCTGCCCCAGCTCAGAGGGGCAGGGGCATTGTCAGGGCATTGTGATGTGAGAAGCTCCTCCAGTGAGACTGGGCAGAAACAACAGAGAGAAATGAGACTGCAGTGCCAGGGTGCATTCTGCCACTGTGACTGAGACGTGTTTGTGCAGAGGACACTGTCTGTGCCAAAGGCTTCAAAGGCAGATAAGGACAGCTTCAGCTTTACTCCAGTGCATTCTGAATTTATCTGGAGCCTTTCAGAACCCTGTTTTCATTCCTCTGTTCTATGCCCAAGAATTAGAAAAAACCATCAAGGTAACCTGGAGGCCAAGTCCCAGAGAACAGGGAAACAAAAGCCTGAAAAACCCCAAATCTGTTTTAGCATCACTTTATCATTCAGCTTATTTTGAAGCATCTCTCTAAAATCAGCCTCTCTCCACACCCTGGGGCACAGCTGAAGGAGCTGCTCCCTGGAAAGAGTGAGATGTAAAGCTTGGCCTTTTCTGAAGCAGAAATCTGTGCCAGCCCTGTCCCCTAAGAGATCCTGGGACTCTCTGCCTGTGGCAGGTGCAGGGCTGCCTGCCCTGGGTGAGACAGAGTAGAAATTCTCTAGAGCAGAAATCCATTTTGATTTGGGTGGAATGTACATCTTTGTCTCTGTGGTTACAAAACAGAGCTATGTAGCCTGACTGCAAAGCCTACGCTCAGAGAAACTACTTCAGAGAAGGACAGAGATAAGAGGGGGAGACAGAGGGTGATAGAGACAGAGACTGCTGTAAGAGCAGGCCAGCCTGACCTAGGAATTCCTTCTGATAAAGAAGAACTAGCGGCAAATGTCATGCAAAATTCGTAAAAATGAATATGTATGAACCTAATGTGAAATTGTATGCATATGTATTTGAGAGGGGGATAAAAAGGGACCTGAAGTTCCCATGTCTTTTAAGGAGAGCAGTCTCCACACATAACAATAAACATACCGGCTTTACAACTTGCACAAAGCCGTGGAGTTTTGGTTATCTCCGCAAAACAAGGGTGCTGCCTTACCGAGCTGCTGGAGCCTGGCTGCTCCTCCCATTCAGTCTCTCCACCTTGTACTCCACGCCCTCGATGATGACGCTGGACTGCATGGCCTGGGGCGCCCGCCTGCCCTCCTCCTCCTCCTCCTCAGCTTCCTCCTCCAGCAGCAGGGCTCGCTGCTGCTGCAGCTTGCGGGCTGCAGGGACACAGGGGGCAGCTCATAGCAGAGAGCACGGGCTGAACCCCAGGGTGGGACTGTGGGGGGGGGGTCCTTACACTGACTGAAACTCCCAGGGTGGGACTGTGGGAGGGTCCTGGTACTGAATCCCCCAGGATGGAACCTCTGGGCAGGTCCTGGTACTGAAACCCCAGGATGGAACCTCTGGGCAGATCCTGGTACTGAATCCCCCAGGATGGAACCTCTGGGCAGATCCTTCTCACCCCTGCAAGTCTGGGCTGGTTTCAGTCCATCCCCTCTCCATGAACACCTTTGTTCCTCCACACTTCCACCAATGATGAAACAAACTCTGCATGGTTTCCTCAGCCCCCCCCATTCCTTATCCACCAGATTTCCATCCCTAGACACCCAGGGCAGATTTCCAGCAGATTTCCCAGTGCTCTCAGCCTCACCCTGGAAACTGGGCACAGTTTCTCCTGCCCTTTTCCCAGAGGGAAGGAGGAACCCTGGGAGCCTGTATCTGCCCCTGGCCTCCTGCAGGAGCCAAGGCTGGGTGCTGGTGGTGGCCCCACGCGTGGCAGTGGCCCTGGGACAGCTCTGCTGGTGAGCACATCACCAGAGGGTCAGGGACAGAGGGGACAGGAGCAGGCAGCTCTGGGCAGGGGTCCTGCAGGTCACCCAGGGGTACTCCTCAGGGCTCAGCCCTGGGGCAAGACTAAAAATCTTAAGAATATAAAAATACTATTAAAAAGAAAAAACATTAAAAACAAATTAAAAATCTTAAAAATATAAAAATAATATTAAAATTAAAAAATATTTCTTAACAAAATAAAAATCTTTCTTAAAATATAAGATAATATTAAAATTAAAAAATTATTTAAAATAAATTTTAAACCTTAAAAATATAAAAATAATATTTAAATTATTAATAAAATCATTTTTCTGCATTCTGCAGGAGCTGAATGCAACAGGAACACTCTGCTGCTGATGCCAAACTGGGAGCTGCTGGCGGCTCTCTGAAGGGCCATGGAGCCTTACAGGAGGGTGCAGACAGGCTGGGACACTGGGCAACCATTACTGGCATAAAACTGAAGCAAATGCCAGGTTTAGGTATGATTTGGAGAGGAGTGGCTGGAGAGCTCAGTAAAAATCCTTTTTTCCACTTCACCTTGTTCCTTATCACCTCCTAAAGCAACTATGGGTAGGACTCGATGATCTTTAAGGTCTCTCCCAGCCGAGTCATTCTGTGAATTCTGTGAACTCTCAAGCAAGAGGGAATGACAACACAAAGGAGAGCAGCAATGCAGCTCCTGGTGCAGCCCTGGAGCAGCACAGTGAGCTCTGAGCTCTGCTGCCAGTCCTGTGTGAGGGTGCCACTCACCTGGCGCTGGCACAGCCCCACTGTGTGCAGGGGCTTTATAAATGCCCCTGAAGTGTTTATTGCAGGCTGCAGGCACAGAGCCCAGAGCAGGCAGCCTGGAATGCCCCTCTGCTCTGCAGGGAGAGCTGTGTGAGAGCTGAACTGCTCAGCTGCAGAGGAGAAGGCTGCAGGCAGAACTCAGAGCCCTTCAGAGCTCTGTGAGAGCTGAACTGCTCAGCTGCAGAGGACAAAGCTGCAGGCAGAACTCAGTGCAGCCCTGCAGAACCCAGAGGGGCTCCAGAGGGGCTCTGGGCACAGGCCTGGAGGGGGGATGGCTTCAGGGATGGATGGGATTTGGGAAGGGACCCTGCCCAAGGAGCAGCTGTGGCTGCCCCTGGATCCCTGCAAGTGTTCCAGGCCAGATTGGAGCCACTGGTCTGAGGCAAGGAGTCCTTGCCCATGGCAGGGGTGGCACTGAGTGGGTTAAAAGTCCCTCCAATCCAATCCAACCCAAACCCTCCTGTGATTCCATGATACAGGACACCTGAAACTACAGCACTGCACCAACCCAGGCAGTATCAGTGCAGCATGCACAGAATTGCTCAGCATTCACTTCAAATCCTTCCCAGGCCTTACAAGAACCACCCAGGGGCTTCTGGAAGTGCTGCATTTCCGTGGCAAAGGAATCCCTTAGCAGGACAACCCTCTGAGCACACGTTCCTACGTACCCTCCTCCTCTTTCATCTTCTTCAGGTCGTCCTCCCCCACCAGGGACACGCGCTTGGGAGGCCTGTCCAGGTGCTGCTGCTTCACCTCAATCTCAAAATACTTCTGCCTCTCCCGGAAGGACCTCTGCTCAGGGCTGTGCTGGCCCCCGGGGCTGTGGGCGGCCACCTGCAAGAGCCAGAACGCTGCACAGGGGGCACACAGGCACAGGGGGCACACAGGGACACCCAGGGACATGGGGCGCCCAGGGACACCATGGGACAGGGGGCACACAGGGACACCCAGCACTGCCCACTCAGCCCCAGCACTGCCCACCTAGCCCCATGCCACCCTATCCCCTGTTCTGCCAGCTGCCCCATCCTCTCAGTTCTCACTGTGCCCCATCCTCTCACTTTGCCCCATCCCCTCAGCTCTCACTTTGCCCCATCCTCTCAGTTCTCACTGTGCCCCATCCCCTCAGCTCTCACTTTACCCCATCCTCTCACTTTGCCCCATCCTCTCACTGTGCCCCATCCCCTCAGTTCCCACTTTGCCCCATCCCCTCGGTTGTCACTTTGCCCCATCCTCTCACTTTGCCCCATCCCCTCAGCTCTCACTTTGCTCCATCCTCTCACCTTGCCCATCCCCTCAGTTCTCACTCTGCCCCATCCCTCAGCTCTCACTTTGCCCCATCCTCTCAGTTCTCACTTTACCCCATCCCCTCAGCTCTCACTTTGCTCCATCCTCTCACCTTGCCCATCCCCTCAGTTCTCACTCTGCCCCATCCTCTCAGTTCTCACTTTACCCCATCCTCTCACTTTGCCCCCTCCTCTCCTCCTCCTGCTCCTCCCCAGCCCTCCCACACCACGACCCCATCCCTCCACTGTCGCAGACATCTTTCTGTGAAAATCTTTTCTTTAGGATTTTTCTCTCCTGAGAAGCTGAGAGGCCTCAGGAACAAAATGTAAACAATGGTTTTCTGCTGCTGTGGAATGCAACAGGTGTCATTGGGCCATCTTGAATGTTTGCAATTAATGGCTAACCTCAGACCAGAGAGCTTGGACTCTCTGTCCCGAGCCACAGACCTTTGTTATTCATTCTTTGCTATTTTATTCTATTCTTAGCTGGCCTTCTGAGGAAACCTTTCCTTCTATTCTTTAGTATAGTCTTAATGTAACATATATCATAAAATAATAAATCAAGCCTTCTGAACATGGAGCCAACATTCTCGTCTCTTCCCCCATCCAAGAACCCCTGTGACCACCATCACACCCCACCCACACCCCCACGACTCCCAGCACTCACCTCCAAGGCCATTTTGGTGTTTTCTGTGCTGCTCTGACCAGACAGTTCCTAAGGACAGAGAGAAACAAGCATGTTCCAAAGGAAAGGTTCCAGCTGTGTGCCCCAAGACCAGGCAGCTGACACAGGTCCCCACACTGTCCCAGAATTCACAGATTTAACAAGGCTTAGCAATGGTCAGGAGTGAGGATTTATGGTAAATGAGGGTTAAACAGAACCAGGTGTGACAACTCCTGAAAGGAAGAAACTGAAAATCACTGGAAACAGGCACCAAACAGGAGCAGGGGCTGGAGGGGAGTCACAGGAGCTGGCAGGAGCCACTCACACTTTGCTTGCATCAAAGACAAAACCACACAAAATTTACTTTAAAGAAGCAGAGATGCCATCAGAAAGAATGAAATCTGTATTTACTGGGATGCATAACAGAATGTTGGATGAACAGAACTACAGGGGTAGGAAACTGATCCCCCAAGTCCATCTGTTAACCAGGAATCTACAGGGGCAAACTGAGAACTGCAAATTAGTTATGGAAAAGAAGGAAGTTTCATCATCAGATAAACTGAAATGACCCACAAAGAGAGAGCAAGGAGATGATCTCTGGCTTTATCCAAACACTCCAAAAACTAATTCAGAATTCAGAACTGGAGTGGATCTGCCTGAGCAACCTCCTACAGCTCTGGAGATGTTTGACCAATGCTCTCAGGGCCATGGTGGGGTTCCTGGGGGTGTCCTGAGCTGGACCTGATGATCCTGGTGGGTCCCTTCCAACTCAGGACGTCCCAGGATTCTGGAATTCCAGGATTCCAGGACCCAAGCCTGCCCTGTTCTGCAGGGGGAACTGAGACAATGACTTCCAAGGCCTCAGCTAGCCTGGGCTGTTCCAGGATTCAGCTAGATGGCAGGGAAAAGGAAGAGTGCCAGTGAAGATCAAAATCTATCCAAAAATGCCTCAGCACAGGTTTAGCCTGGCCCTGGAGCCTGGAATTTCAGAGTTCCTTTGCGTAGTTGTTCATCAGTATCCCAATGTCCAGGGAGAACAACAATGCTTGAGATTCCAGGAGCTTCCAGGATCTGACAGGACTCTGCCAGGATGAACATCTGCACCATCCACACATTCCAACAGGACCTGACACAGACAGGACCCTGCCAGGGTGAACATTGCACCATCCACACATTCCAACAGGACCCTGCCAGGGTGAACATCTGCATCATCCACACACTCCAACAGGACCTGACACAGACAGGACCCTGCCAGGGTGAACATCTGCACCATCCACACACTGCAACAGGACCTGACACAGACAGGACCCTGCCAGGGTGAACATCTGCACCATCCACACATTCCAACAGGACCTGACACAGACAGGACCCTGCCAGGGTGAACATTTGCACCATCCGCACATTCCAACAGGACCCTGCCAGGGTGAACATCTGCATCATCCACACATTCCAACAGGACATGACACAGACAGGACCCTGCCAGGATGAACATCTGCACCATCCACACAGGACCCTGCCAGGATGAACATCTGCATCATCCATATACTCTAACAGGACCTGGCACAGACAGGTCCCTGCCAGGGTGACCATCCCCTCACCAATACAGGACCCTTCCAGGGTGACCATCTCACCATCCCATCCCCAGCCTCTCCAGCTCCCCCAGGCCCTGGCCGTGTCCCCAGCTGTCCCTGCAGAGCACACACCCTCTGTCCTGCCATGCTGAGCCCTGGCTGGTGCCACCAGGGCTGGGTTACCTGTGTCCCCAGCAGGGGCTGGGACAGGGGCACTGCTGCAAAGGTCTTGTAGGCCTGCTTGACGTTGATGGGCACCTCGTCAGGGGACGGTGGCGACGGTGGCGATGGCTTTGGCTGCAGGGACAGACAGACAAACAGACAGACAGGAGGCACAGGTGAGCACAGGTGGGGGGAAAACCCACATGGGGGAAACACAGCCTGACTCTTGGCCTGCAGAGCCTGGTGAGTGGGATATGGAAGGAATAGGTCAGGGAACACGTAAGGGATCTGTGAGCCTTGGGAAGGCAATCTCAGCCTCTGCTGCTGAGCCCTGGGCAGGAGCACCAGGAGCAGAGCACTGCACGAGGGTCACAGCCTGTTCTGTTCCATGGACAGTGAAGGAATGATGCTTTAGGTGGCACAGACCTTCACTGACCTGATGGGAATGTTGTGACAGATCCCTTGGCCAAGGGCACATTGCTGTCCCAGTCCTTGAGGATTTACAGCCAATTCAACCTCCCTGAATCAGGATTTTGTGGGATAGAACAGGACAGCTACACATTGATTTCTATTTAGGGCTGAACAAGAGTCCCTCTAGTGAAGGTGTCCCTGTTTTTAAGGTCCCTCCCAAGCCAAAGCACCCTGTGATTCCAGGATCTGATCCAGGGATCTGTGATGGGGAGGGGATCTGCCTTTGATCCCAAATTTTCCTCTGCAGAACTACACTTACACATCTGACAAGCTCTGAGGGGACCTTCCTAGTCCTGTCACTGTCTTTGCTGGTCCCTCCCTCACCCACCTTCCCTGTGAACCCTCCTGCAGCTCTGGGGGTTCTGCTCTAAGCACCACAGAGATGGAAGGGTGGGGGGCAATAGCACCCAAACCTTCCTCCTCCTCCTCCTCCTCCTCCTGGAGAGGAAATCCCCTGCAGCTGCTCATCCCTCCAGCTGCACCAATCCAGTTCTGGTTCTGGTTTTCCTTAGTCCTGGACTAGGGCTAAACAATGCTGTCTGATGGGCTAAAGGACAGCACAGTGAGGTCAGGAGAGCTGTGAAATGTGAGCCATGCCCATTCCATGAGTTCTGTACAGATGTTTGCCTGCAAATCAGCTCTCTGATACTTCTGGTATCCCACTGCAGGGACAGAAGGGCTGGATTTGTGGAATCTCACCCAGCATGGTTTGTGTAAGGGACTGAAAGCCCATCCAGTCACGGGCAGGGACACCTTCCGCTATTCCTTCCACTTTTATATGAAGGGACACAGGTCTTCCCTCATGACAAAGACAAAAACACCTGAATTTTTCTCCCCCATCAACAAACAGCCCCAGAAACAGGAACCTTTCAAAAACAATGAGGACAGGTGGTCACCAAACCAGAGTGACCAGGACAGGTGGTCACCAAACCGGAGTGACCAGGCATGTGGTGACCACACCAGAGTGACCAGGGACATAGTCATCAAACCAGAGTGACCAGGACATGTGGTCACCAAACCAGAGTGAGCAGGGACATAGTCATCAAACCAGAGTGAGCAGGTATGTGGTCACCAAGCAGAGTGACCAGGCACGTGGTGACCACACCAGAGTGACCAGGCACGTGGTCACCAAGCAGAGTGACCAGGCACGTGGTCACCAAGCAGAGCCCCCTCTGGGAGGGTTTCTGCCCCACAACATGGCACTGCACCACGCGGGGCAGCCACAGGGCTCTGGGGAGGGCTCCCTGGGCACTTACAGAGCTGTGGGTCCTGAAGCAGGGCTGGGGCTGCTGGAAGGGGTTGGGGCTGTCCCCCTCCTCGGCCCTGAGTGCCACAGCAGCGCTCGGTCGCACGCGGGACAGCGGCTGGATGACGCCGGGCTTGGTCTGCTGGTGCCAGGGCAGCGTGGGCAGGGCACAGGAGGGCAAGGGGGCACAAAGAGAAGAGAAACGAGCAGTTAGGGCAGCCAGGTGTCTGCCATGCAGGTGAATGAACAAACCCATGCAAATCCATGCACCACCCCCTTCTCTCCTCGGCTGTGCTGCTGCTCCAGCTGCAGGAGCCAACACCAAAGGAGACTCAGCCAAGAAGGGTCACACAGCACCACTGCACTGCAGAGGACAAAAGGAAGGACAAAAGGAAGCACCTGCCAGACCAGCAGCAGCTACAGGGGTTGGCAGGGTAAGGTGAGTCCAACCAAGCTCAGAAAATGACAGCACCAGGGATAGAAGGAGGGAAACATCAGCCAGGAATGGGAACTGGCAGAAGCTGTGGATGGAAGTGAACCAGGCTAGGTCTGATGAGAAATGCAGTTACTGGAGCAGAGGTGAGAGGCTAAAACCTCTCCTAGATGTCACCATCACTGCTGGATGCTGTGTGAACGTGAGCAAAGCACCTGCAAGTGGAGAGAGTGGCACAGGGACTGGGAAAGCCAGCAAAACCTGCAGGAGGGGAAACAGCAATAAAAGCTGCAAAAACAGCTGGGCTGGGCTTTCACACGGACCATATCTGAGACCTGATGCATTTGTACAAACTCAGGGCATACTGGAGAAGACAGAATGGAAGCCAAGGGGAGGAAGGAACAAGCTCCAAGTGCTGGGGGATGCACAGGGACAGCAGAGTCAGGTTTCACAGCAGCTGTACTCACTGATTTACTGTCATCCTGCGATGTGATGAAGTTAATGGAAGCCTGCAAACAGAAACACAGGGGTAAATCTGGAGTCTGGAAGCTTTGTTTACCCCTGCCCCACTGCCCACCCTGTGTGGGGAGCTCCAGGTGCCACAGAACCCCAGTCCCTGCCTCTTCAGGTGAGGACAGCCCACCTGCATGAGACTCTCCCAGCCCCTGTGCTGTGTGAGGAGACCCTCACAGCTCTCTGCAAACCTCCAAACCCTGAGCCCAGCTGTGGGACAGCCCTGGCCCTGGGCACAGCTCCTGCTCCCTGGGCACATTCCCTGGGCACAGCCCCTGCTCCAGGTCACATTCCCTGCTCCTGCTCCCTGGCACGTTCCCTGGACACATCCCCATGGCACATCCCCTGCTCCTGGGCACACTCCTTGGCATATTCCCTGGGCACATCCCCTGGTCCCTGGGCATTCCCTGGGCACATCCCCTGCTCCTGCTCCCTGGGCACATCTCCAAACTCTGAGCCCAACTCTGGGACAGCCCTGGCTCTGGGCATAGCCCCTGCTCCTGCTGCCTGTATATTCCCTGGGTACATTCCCTGGGCACATCCCTGCTCCTGGTCTCTGGCACATTCCTGGGCACATGCCCTGGTCCCTGGACATGCCCTGGCACATTCCCTGCTCCAGGCACATCCCCTGCTCCTGGTCCCTGGCACATTCCTGGACACATCCCCTGGTGCCTGAACAGGCCCTGGCACATTCCCTGCTCCTTGTCCCTGGACATTCCCTAGCACATTCCTGGGCACATTCCCGTGGCACACGCCCACCCTGCACACCTGCCCCAGCCTGAGCAATGCCATCCCCCCTGCTCCTCCCAAGCACTCGCGGTGCCACCACAGCAGCAGCTGACAGGGAGCAGCCCCCCGTGCCTTGAGTGCCAGCAGGGTGCTGCTCCCTGG